GTCTATGATGTTTGGATATTTTTCTTCAATTTAGTCTCTATTGTTTTAAAAAAAATTAGTTTAGCCCATTAAGTTTTAATATTTTTCAATGATATCCTCACAATTGGCTAACATTGGATGATTAAAAACTTATTTGACTTAATATTGAATGAGTCGACAAAATTTTTAGAGGAATTAGAAACTTTTTTTGACATTTCAAACAAATAAATAAATAATAAAAAGTTTAATTGATTATTAAAATAACTAATTTTTTAAAGTGAACAAAAGGGCATTTGGTCTAGTGGTATGATTCTCGCTTAGGGTGCGAGAGGTCCTGAGTTCAATTCTCGGAATGCCCCAATTATGTGCTTTATTTTATTATATCGTAAATTTTGGGTAGAAATCAAACACAATGCAGGAAATGCATTTTGTAGGATTTTCTAAAATTTCCATAATATTTCCCTATTGGACTATTATTATCCTTTTTAAAGATTAATTTTTCTACTTCTAGACTTTAACTGAAACATAAAGATCTGTTGTTTCTTCATTATCATCATTCATTCTTTCGAAAAATTTCATTACTACTTAATTGAAACTTCTTTTTATTGAATTTTAAATTTATTTTCATACCTGTGATAATATCCAGATTTTTTTTGAAGGATTAATATCAAAAAACTTTTTTTTAGTAAAATATGTAAAGATGAATATTCGAACCCACGATCTTGTTAGTAGGAAATAAATAACTTAAAGTTATACTCAAAAGTAACATAATATCAAGAATTTCAACTTTATAAAATTGTTTTAATTTTGTTACAGAATTTTAGATGGCTGTAGAAAATTTATTATGTCTACTTGCACGTGGATTTCATCAATACCAACATTAAAATATCGATGAATTAGATGCAAACACAATTGATATGGATAATCATTTCCAGTGTCCAAAACAAAATTACCGCAACTTTAAAACAGCAAATATATGCAAAAGAACAGTTCGATGTTAAAGAAGGGCATTTGGTCTAGTGGTATGAGTCTCGCTTTGGATGCGAAAGGTCCCGAGTTCGATTCTCGGAATGCCCCAATTTTTATTTCAGTCTTACCAACCAAAATGCTGTTTTTTTTTTCTTTGAAGAAACCAAAAATAGCTGTTTTTTTTTTTGACAAATAAACCAAAAAATAGCCGTTAAGTCATACCCCCGCTAAAAATTTCGAATCTCGACGCATGGAAAAAAACCAGTAACGGTGTCTCCATTAAGCTGGTCATTTTCAAGCCATTTTGGCCATCTGAGTATTACAACTCAATATATACTTATCAAAATTGGGCATTTGGTCTAGTGGTATGATTCTCGCTTAGGGTGCGAGAGGTCCTGAGTTCAATTCTCGGAATGCCCCTTCTGTTTTAATCCAAGTTTATCTCTTTATCATTTTTCCATATCTCATTTATCATTAAACTTATCTCATTAATAATAGGGGAGAGAGAGGGAGAGAGAAAGTATTTCCATATAAATATAGGCATAGTGCTTCATACCTTTTAACCTTAGTTCCTCCAAGGTAGAAGTAACTGTTCCACGTGTGAGCAAACCTGAAAATGGTAACATAGGCACAATAACAATTTTCAGTTTACAATAATAAACGAAAATTAAATACCAATTACAAAATGAACGTCAGAATTATAAATTTTCTATATTTCCGATCTACACAGGTACAAACGGAAAACTCAACTAAAAAAGACAAGTTCCCAAGAAATCATTTGCTTTATTGTATGATTCTTTCCCCCTGGAAGCTACTCTAGATTGTCGGATGCTGGAAATGCATTTTTTTAGCAACGGAACTATATGGATAAAATATCCAAGTTTTACACTGCTGTAAGTTCACAGGAATGAATTTTAGACAAAAACCTACATTATTACTCAATAATTTTCACAGAATTGAACATTATAATAATACCCCTTTCCATATTTCTACCCAACCTGTAGCAAAAGAATTCAACTCATCGGAGCCATATATAGGTAGAAGAACTGCAAATGCCTCAGTAAGAACCAAACCACCACTTGATCGATCGACATGCGTATTCAAATATTAACATTCTAAATTTGCTTTACTTTGTGCGTAGGATGTGTGGTTCAAGTGAAAATCTCAAGCCATTACTTGCAGTTACATTAGATACTAACTTCAACTGTTTTTTCTCCTCTCCTCATTCATTACACCTACTCCGTATAAATAATTTGAGAATAATCTAACTTTGAGCTATCTAGATCTAAAAGGTATACAATAATAATTTGCACCTGCGTTTCATTAATGCTCCCCTTCTTTATTAATCAATATTCACTAAATACTAATTATTTAATCAAAATTTTCGAGTGTTTAATATCAAACTGAATGATAAGCCAAAACGAGTATAGCTCGGTGGTAATTGACATATATCTCTAACCAATAGATTGTGAGTTCGATCCTCCACCCCATATGCTGTACTTGAAAAAAAAAATGAGAAACTTAATGACGATTCTATTAAAAACTAGTAAATTTTTATCTTCAAGAATTGGTCTAGTGGTATGATTTTCACTTTGGGTGCAAGAGGTCCCGAGTTAGATTCTCGGAATGTCCCACTTTATATTTCAAAAATTTTCTTTTTGGAAATTGATTTTGTTCATAGAGAAGCAAATATAGCAGTTTTATAAATTTAAATGCTCCACTTTATATTTCAAAAATTTTCTTTTTGGAAATTGATTTTGTTCACAGAAGCAAATATAGCAGTTTTATAAATTTAAATGCCCCACTTTATATTTCAAAAACTTTCTTTTTGGAAATTGATTTTGTTCACAGAGAAGCAAATATAGCAGTTTTATAAATTTAAAATTAAAAAAATAAGAAAGGGTCTTAGTAACAAAAATAGCTGTTAAGCATATATCCCCACCAAAATTTCAAATCTCCATCTGTGTTTTTTTTTTCCGAGTATAACATATGGGGTGGGAGATCCAACTTACAACCTCTTAGTTAGAGATATATGCTAATTACCGATGAGCTATCATCAATTTGGCTCCATCTGTGTTGCTATCAAACAAAAAAAAAACAAGAACCAATAACGGTATCTCCAATATTGTTCAAAAAAAAAAAATATCTCCAGTAAGCTGCCACGTCAAGGTTACAAAAATGGACATTTTGGTTATCAAGTATTATACCTAAATATGATTTTATAAAAATTGGGCATTTGGTCTAGTGGTATGATTCTCGCTTTGGGTGCGAGAGGTCCCGAGTTCGATTCTCGGAATGCCCCACTTTTTATTTCATAAATTTTCTTTTTGGAAATTGATTTTGTTCACAGAGAAGCAAAAATAGCAGTTTTCTTGGTAACAAAAATAGTTGTTAAGCATATATCCCCACCAAAATTTCAAATCTCCATCCGTGTTTTTTTTTCCGAGTATAACAGAGATCCAACTCACAACCTCTTGATTAGAGATATATACTAATTACCGTTGAGCTAGGATCGTTTTGGCTCCATCTGTGTTGCTATTAAACAAAAAAAAAACAAGAACGGTATCTCCAATATTGTTCAAAAAAAAATTTCCAATAAGCTGCCATTTCAAGGTTACAAAAATGGACATTTTGGTTATCAAGTATTATACCTAAATATGATTTTATAAAAATTGATCATTTGGTCTAGTGGTATGATACTCGCTTTGGGTGCGAGAGGCCCCGAGTTCGATTCTCGAAATGCCCCACTTTTTATTTCATAAATTTTCTTTTTGGAAATTGATTTTGTTCACAGAGAAGCAAAAATAGCAGTTTTATAAATTTAAAATTAAAAAAAAATAAGAAAGGGTCTTGGTAACAAAAATAGCTGTTAAGCATATATCCCCACCAAAATTTCAAATCTCCATCCGTGTTTTTTTTTTCCGAGTATAACAGAAATCCAACTCACAACCTCTTGATTAGAGATATATACTAATTACCGTTGAGCTAGGATCGTTTTGACTCCATCTGTGTTGCTATTAAACAAAAAAAAAACAAGAACAGTATCTCCAATATTGTTAAAAAAAAAATCTCCAATAAGCTGCCATTTCAAGGTTACAAAAATGGACATTTTGGCCATCAAGTACTACACCTAATGATGATTTATCACAAATTGGGCATTTGGTCTAGTGGTATGATTCTCGCTTAGGGTGCGAGAGGTCTTGAGTTCAATTCTCGGAATGCCCCATATTTTTAATCTAAGTTTATTCTCTTATCATTTTTTCATATCTCATTTATCATAAAACTTATCTCAATATGGGAGAGAGAGGGACAGAAAGTATTTCCACATAAATATAGGCATAGTGCTTCATACCTTTTCACCTTACTTCCTCTTAAGGCAGAAGTAACT